AGGTTGGTCCTGGCCTGGGAAGGTCGCTCCTGCCCTGGGAAGGTCGCTCCTGCCCTGGGAAGGTTGGTCCTGGCCTGGGAAGGTTGGTCCTGCCCTGCGAAGGTCGCTCCTGGCCTAGGAAGGTTGCTCCTGCCCTGGGAAGGTTGGTCCTGCCCTGGGAAGGTCGCTCCTGCCCTGGGAAGGTCGCTCCTGCCCTGGGAAGGTTGGTCCTGGCCTGGGAAGGTTGGTCCTGACCTGGGAAGGTCGGTCCTGGCCTGGGAAGGTCGGTCCTGGCCTGGGAAGTTCGGTCCTGGCCTGGGAAGGTCGGTCCTGGCCTGGGAAGGTCGGTCCTGGCCTGGGAAGGTCGAGCCTGGCCTGGGAAGGTCGGTCCTGGCCTGGGAAGGTCGGCCCTGACCTGGGAAGGTCGGTCCTGGCCTGGGAAGGTCGGTCCTGGCCTGGGAAGGTCGACCCTGGCCTGGGAAGGTCGGTCCTGGCCTGGGAAGGTCGGTCCTGGCCTGTGAAGGTTGGTCCTGACCTGGGAAGGTCGGTCCTGGCCTGGGAAGGTCGGTCCTGGCCTGGGAAGGTCGGTCCTGATCTGGGAAGGTCGGTCCTGATCTGGGAAGGTCGGTCCTGGCCTGGGAAGGTCGGTCCTGGCCTGGGAAGGTCGGTCCTGGCCTGGGAAGGTCGGTTCTTAGCCTGAGAAGGTCGGTCCTGGCCTGGGAAAGTCGGTTCTTAATCTGGAAAGGTCGGTCCTGGCCTGGGAATGTCGGTCCTGGCCTGGGAAGGTCGGTTCTAAGCCTGGGAAGGTCGGTCCTTGCCTGGGAAGGTCGGTCCTGGCCTGGCAAGGTCGGTTCTTAGCCTGGGAAGGTCGGTCCTGGCCTGGGAAGGTCGGTTCTAAGCCTGGGAAGGTCGGTCCTGGTCTGGCAAGGTCGGTTCTTAGCCTGGGAAGATCGGTCCCTGGATTAAGACATGTACTGAAGTATGTTTGTGTGTACTCACACATATATGTGTATGTGTACTCACCTAGTTGTGGTTGCAGCGGTCGATTCACAGCTCCTGGCCCCGCCTCTTCACTGGCCGCTATTTGGTCACTCTTCCCGCTCCGTGAGCTTTATCATATCTCTCCTTAAAACTATGTATGGATCCTGCCTCCACTACATCACTTCCCAGACTATTCCACTTCCTAACATCTCTGTGACTGAAGAAATACTTCCTGCGTGTGTGTGCACTCACCTATATGTGGTTGTAGGGGTCGGGTCTTAGCTCCTGGCCCCGCCTCTCGACTTGCTACTTGTCAGATTCACTCCTAGCCTCACGGGCCCTATCATATCTATTTTTATGGCTACATTGCTACGTCTGTATGGATTAATATAACAAGACCTCTTTGTCGAGGTCATTCCACTTCCACTTCCTGAGACTGAAGAAATACTTCCTGACATCCCTTCGACTCAACTGTCTTAAATTTCCAGAGAGAGAGAGAGAGAGAGAGAGAGAGAGAGAGAGAGAGAGAGAGAGAGAGAGAGAGAGAGAGAGAGAGAGAGAGAGAGAGAGAGAGGAATAAGTAAAGAGAGTGAAGGGAAGAAATACAATTGTTCAAGTCTACGGTACAAACCATGCATATTCCCACAATATTATTCACACGGGAAAACGGGATGAGTGTCTATGTTATTATTATTATTATTATTATTAAATTCGTCTAGAAAGCTAAATCCATTGTGGGTCACAGAGCACCTGCGGAATAGAGGCAATAACTTCTATCCATGAAAGGGTACGGTAGCTCCAATGTCTCAGATCAAGAGCCCTTCACTAGCATCAAGGTTCCTGTGAAGGGTGAGAATGTACACTGCTTATATTAGCACATACTAGTGCTCGGTGTAGTTGAGTTTGTGAATGTTGAACTACATCTCTTGGCTCCATCTCTTTCTGTTAAGCAGACGTGATATGCATTTTTTAAAGAAGCAATAGATTTACATTCTGCGTCTTCCCCGACTTTGTTTCACTTCTTTACTCACATTATTATTATTATCATCATCATCATCATAATATTCACAAGAAAGCGCTAAATCCGATGCTTACCAGTAAATTTATAATAACTTACTGTGTGAGCCATTTCTATGTGCTTTCTTCCTCTCATTCAGCTCCAACCTGTGGTAAATAAGACCTTTATGTCCTGGAGTATTGTTTACGTCACCATGTCTCCTCTAGTACTCAATTATCCCAAGACGTAAGATCCAGACACTGCAGTCTCTCTCCACAGCTTCTCTTTGAAAATTAAGTGAATATAGTCGGGTAGTGTGTGTCTAGCATAGAGATGTATCAGATATCCGCATCCGCGAAACATCCGCACTATTTCTTACATGCGCATTTCACTGTAAACTGATATCCGTAAATGCATCCGCAAAATAAGTAAGACATCCTCATACACATCCGCATCCACGGATATCTAAATTTTCACGTCCGATATATCTCTAGTCTAGCACTTAGTTGTGTGAGGCTCAGCCTCCAACACTTGCTGCTCTGAATGACCAACACGAGTGGAATGTTTTACATAATTATAATATTAATTCATTGCTTTTATTTCTCAGATCTAGTACTAACTTGGTAGTTTATGTGCTTTACTGTTCATGGGATTTACAACAATGGTAGATATTTAAAGTCGAGTCCTACATTGTGCACAATAATGATTAGTAGGTTTGTGTTCAGGTTCCTTAATGACTTTCTTTTCACTGTCCAATCTAGCTTACTTTGCTGCTAACGAGTTTGTGTTTGTTTCCTTACACAGACTGTGATGGCTCCTCCTAAGGATTCAGAGATGAATAAAACTTTCCTTGTAATTTAATATAATTTTAGCACTTTTCTTAAGCGCTCTTGTAAAATCTCAGATCCCGCTGCCTATACCAGGTCCAGCTCCCATAGTGTTGTCTTCGTGCCTTCATCCAACACTACGTACTTTAGCAGAGCATAGTGAAGCCTAACAAAAATTAAATATTTAATTTTTAAAGGGGTGGAGAGGTAAGCCAGCGGAAGGCTTAAAATGACCAAAACCTGCAATGGTGGGTCATCATATGTGACTAATAAGACCCGCGCCAGGACACACTTGTCGTGTTTCCTGACGAATCTTACCCAACCTATTATCTTCCCAAATCACTTAGCTTCTCACAAATTTTCTTATCCTTCCATTGTGGGTCACAGAGCTTCAGTTTTGATCACAATCTCCTACCAACATCTTTCTCCTTTTGTGGTTCATCTTTTGTTTTCGTAATTGGGAAACGTTAATATTTCATATTCCTCTTAACTTTATGGTATTTATTTATAACCTTCTTACTTAATTTTCTTTCAACCTGTCCCATAGCTCGACTGATAGCGCACTCAGCTCACACACTGACGTCCGGGGATCGATCATCCGGTACGACTGGAAAACATTAGGACGTGTTTCCATAAGACACCTGCTGTCCCTGTTCACCATCAGTAAAATGGGTAACTGGGTGTTAGTCGACTGGTGTGGGTCGCATCCTGGGACAAAATTGACCTAATTTGCCGGAAATGCTCAGCATAACAAGCGACTTTCTATATAGTAGTATGTCATTGATATCAGCTAGGACTGTATACCTTGTACATGTACTTGTCGAAATAAAGATATTATTATTATTATTAACCACTATATCATTAAATGTTTCTTGTTCCTGGTTTTATTTCCTTGCATGCTTAATAATAAACAATGGGTTATCTTTACATTTATCGTACATCACTTTCTAGAATGGAGAGACTAATCTTAAACTCTTCTTTGTTTACACTTAAAAAGTTGATTAATTTCGTACAGTGGGAAGTGTACATCTGATGATCAAGCCTAGAACTTTCTCTAACACTGAGTGCTCTCAAGACACACGTTGCAGAATAAGCTTTTGTTAGGACAATGTTAATAAATATCTAACAGGACAAAATATTACTTAAATAAAAGCTTTTTCTGCAACATATCTTTTCTGCAATATTGTCAGTGGTACGCTATTTCATTTGTTCTTCCCAGAGCGTGGCAACAACTGCGTCACAAACTCTTACATTACGCATTCACAAGGTATCAGCAGTGTAAAGTCTCGTACCACGCATCATACTCTCTCAAGACAACACAGTGATATTTTAATACCAGTAGCTTACTAACACTTCCATTAAGGTGATTAACATCTTGGTGTAAAATACTGTTGCCACTGTCAGTGTGGCGACTTCCTGACATGTTACCAATCCATACCCCGGCCGGGATTGAACCCGAATCTCCGCTAGCTGGAGATTCGTCTGTAAAAACTTGCATTTGTGGTCACAGTGGTGCCTGTGCTAACCTTCCTATGGTGTAGAAATATACCTAGTTGGACAAATCTTATTGTGGCTAGCTGGTCTAGTGGCTAACGCGACAGGCTGGAGTTTTGAGACTCTCTGACCGCGGGGTCAATCCCGGCCGGGGTATGGTTTGTTTGCAATCGTTTCATTACGATTTCGTGAGTCATGTTACCAATGTTGCACATTTTACTAACACTGCGCCATTAGCGTAACGTATTGCCCTCTACTCACGCGCTGCAATGAAAGTGACATCTGGTACTATAATTTTGACACTGTCAATAGATTTTCTAAGAATTAAGCTAATATATCAGTTCTATAAACAATAGTTCTGCAAACAATTTACCAGTTCTATAAACAAAATAGTTCTGTAAACAATATACTAGTTCTATAAACGATATACCAGTTTCTAACTGCTGTAAAGTACATCACGTCAAAGTGTATTATACAGGAGTTATATCAATGTATAAACCTGCACCGAAAACACCCTCTGTAGCAACAGTGGTGAGTAACCACTATAATTATATTCAATGGGAAGAGCTGAACCCGCAAGGGCAAAACAAAGCCTGTAGAAAAGTTTGATGTAAGGGACAGGGTACTTCTATTTCCTTGGATCAAAAGCCCTTCCTCAGCATCTACGTGCCTCCCAATGTAGTCAACCTCACTCAATTATTACTTCTCTCCCAACAGAAGTAGACAAGCTAATGACGAAGTGGAAGAAGGAGAAAGGATCACTGGAGGAGCACATCGACGCGGCGCTCCTTGCTGTGTGTAGCACAGACCGTCTCAGAGCCTACGTGCTCTCCCCCCCCAAGATGATGCGACTCTGTTCTGGCATCAGAGGTTAGTTCTTCTGCAGTGTGTGGACGAGGAACCGTACCTAGTTCTCCAAGACTGACTTTAATATTGTTGACGAATTACAATACAGATTAATATACGTTAACCTAACACAAAACAAAACGAAACTATTAAGTTTCTGAAGCATGTATATTGGGAAGATATAAAAAAATGAAAAATGAAATGAAAGTGTACACTGGGGAATCAGGTCGGGGCATGAGGGTAAAAATCTGACTGACATCATTTTTAATTCACTTTAAGGAGGCTACTTCAATACATGTCTTAATTATGCTAGATGTCTGCTCTAGTTACTGTCAGTATACTTAAGTAACGTGGTTATTATCAGCAATATCATCAGACACTTACCTTGGATGAGACACAACACAGCGACCTACTCAACTATTTGCAATAGTTATTTATCCTCATTGAAAAAAAAAAAAATAATTTCTTAATTTTAAGAAAAGGCACCAGATTTTTTTACTAGAGTTCAAGTAATTATAATTATCTACTACTTTATATCTCCCTATCCTCCAACACCACCACCGAACCTTCCTCCAACACCACCACCGAACCTTCCTCCAACCACACCGACTTACACACCCGAACCTTCCTCCAACACCACCACCGAACCTTCCTCCAACACCACCACCGAACCTTCCTCCAACACCACCACCGAACCTTCCTCCAACACCACCACCGAACCTTCCTCCAACACCACCACCGAGCCTTCCTCCAACACCACCACCGAGCCCTTCCTCCAACACCACCACCGAGCCTTCCTCCAACACCACCACCGAGCCTTCCTCCAAACCACCACCACCGAGCCTTCCTCCAACACACCACCCCAACCCAACCCTCCTCCAACACCACCACCGAGCCTCCTCCAACACCACCACCGAGCCTTCCTTCAACACCACCACCGAGCCCTCCTCCAACACCACCACCGAGCCTTCCTCCAACACCACCACCGAGCCTTCCTCCAACACCACCACCGAGCCTTCCTCCAACACCACCACCGAGCCTTCCTCCAACACCACCACCGAGCCCTCCTCCAACACCACCACCGAGCCTTCCTCCAACACCACCACCGAGCCTTCCTCCAACACCACCACCGAGCCTCCTCCAAACACCACCACGAGCCTCCTCCAACACCACCACCGAGCCTTCCTCCAAACAACCGACACCACCGAGCGCCTTCCTCAACACCACCACCGAGCCTTCCTCCAACACCACCACCGAGCCTCCTCCAACACCACCACCGAGCCTTCCACCACCACCGAGCCTTCCTCCAACACCACCACCGAGCCTTCCACCAACACCACCACCGAGCCTTCCTTCAACACCACCACCGAAGCCTCCACCAACACCACCACCGAGTCTTCCTCCAACACCACCACCGAGCCCTCCTCCAACACCAACCACCGAGCCTTCCTCCAACACCACCACCGAGCCCTTCCTCCAACACCGCCACCGAGCCTTCCTCCAACACCACCACCGAGCCTTCCTCCAACACCACCACCGAGCCTTCCTCCAACACCACCACCGAGCCTTCCTCCAACACCACCACCGAGCCTTCCTCCAACACCACCACCAAGCCTTCCATCAACACCACCACCGAGCCTTCCTCCAACACCACCACCGAGCCTTCCTCCAACACCACCACGGAGCCTTCCTCCAACACCACCACCGAGCCTTCCTCCAACACCACCACCGAGCCTTCCACCAACACCACCACCGAGCCTTCCTCCACACCACCACCGAGCCCTCCTCGAACACCACCACCGAGCCTTCCTCCAACACCACCACCGAGCCCTCCTCCAACACCACCACCGAGCCTTCCACCACCACCGAGCCTTCCTCCAACACCACCACCGAGCCTTCCACCAACACCACCACCGAGCCTTCCTTCAACACCACCACCGAGCCTTCCACCAACACCACCACCGAGTCTTCCTCCAACACCACCACCGAGCCCTCCTCCAACACCACCACCGAGCCTTCCTCCAACACCACCACCGAGCCCTCCTCCAACACCGCCACCGAGCCTTCCTCCAACACCACCACCGAGCCTTCCACCAACACCACCACCGAGCCTTCCTCCAACACCACCACCGAGCCTTCCTCCAACACCACCACCGAGCCTTCCTCCAACACCACCACCAAGCCTTCCTCAAACACCACCACCGAGCCTTCCTCCAACACCACCACGGAGCCTTCCTCCAACACCACCACTGAGTCTTCCTCCAACACCACCACCGAGCCTTCCTCCAAGACCACCACCGAGCCTTCCTCCAACACCACCACCGAGCCTTCCACCAACACCACCACCGAGCCTTCCTCCACCACCACCACCGAGCCTTCCTCCAGCACCACCACCGAGCCTTCCTCCAACACCACCACCGAGCCTTCCTCCAACACCACCACCGTGGCACAGGACACACAACACTATTAATTTTAAGTGAGAAACTTATAAATAAACCAGAATATAACTGTGTGCTTCATTAGTATTAAGATAACAGTTTACTATAATAAGTTAGTTACTCTTAGACTACAGCCCTGGGCTAAGGTGCTGTCTTTTTCTCAAGACACCATCAGTCATGTATTAGGTCAGGTCAGTCAGTTATCAATCACAGAAATATGTAGCACCATAGTGAAGGGGGCAGGCAGCATTTTTTCAGGTTATTAGGCCTAATTGCTTGGCTGACCTGTCTATTGATTAATAGAAACACTTGGCACACAAGAGCATTAGGTGCAAACTGCAACAATTCTCCTGGAAACATAACTGCTCAGCGCACAAAATATAAGCACATACAGCCCCGGGAAACGACACATTCTTTGATCGAAGTTACACCTAATTAATGATTGAAGGTTTTAATGAAAATATTTTGAGATTTTTCATATGGTGGAATATGAGAGGTAAACTTAGCTAGCTTCTGTTTTAACATATAACTCATAGAATACTATAACCTGTGAGCTTTATGATCGTCTGCCACGGGTTAGAGTTACCACCCATTCTGTGGTTCTGCACACTGAGAATGTACCTAATTTTGTTAAAAAATCACCCAATGTAATCCTCATCCCTTGTGTATTTATCTGTCCCACTGCAGCGCACTACGAGGACGAGATAGGTTTGGTGTTGCTGCAGCAGTACTCGGGCAAAAAGAAGAGCAACGTGGACAAGGTCTTTCAGGCTCTCTGCAGGAAGGCCATTCCGGCGTGTACCAGAGGTATAAAACCCATGTCCGTCGCTAGAAAGGTCAGTGAAATCAGTGTAACACACATATAAGCAATTGTTATATATATATATATATATATATATATATATATATATATATATATATATATATATATATATATATATATATATATATATATATATACATACATATATACATACATATATATAATATATATATATATATATATATATATATATATATATATATATATATATATATATATATATATATATATAAATTAGCAAAAAAATAGAAGAGGGTAATACTATTGGAGCTTTGAGACTTATAACCAGTGAGGATACCATCGCTCCCAAGGACGTCAGCACGGCGCAAGCTCTGAAGGACAAACATCCACCCAGGGCTCCCAGTACCAACATTGACCTCCCTGACATTGCAGCAGGCGAAGAACATCTAACCTTACAGGATGCTGATGTGTATAAAGCTGCTATGTCATTTCCACAGGGTTCAGCAGGAGGTTTCACCGGTTTAAGGCCTCAACACTTAAAACAAATACTCAATCCAGCACTTGGTGAGGTTTCAGAGAGGCTGCTGTCTGAACTCACCAAATTTTCCAACCTGTGCCTGGCTGGCGGTGTCCCAGAGGCCATCAGACCCTTTTTCTTTGGTGCCTCATTGTGTGCCCTCCGGAAAAAGGATGGCGGAATCAGGCCCATTGCGGTCTACATGGTCTTAACTGTTCCAAAACCAAGTGCTGGCATGCAAGACACAATGAGGTCAATGACATCATTAAGAGAACCCTTGCTACAGCTGGATGCCCTGCCGAGAGGGAGCCACGATCACTTGCAGCAAACAATACCCACAACCCAGCAAACCGCCCCGACGGGATCACCATCTATCCTTGGAAGAATGGCAAGCTCTTAGCATGGGACTATACCTGTGTGTCCACACTGGCTGACACCTATATCCATCACAGTGTGGGGCGACAGGGAGGAGCTGCTGACCACAGGGAGGAGTACAAGATCAGCAAGTACAGGGACATTAGCCAACAGTATCAATTTGTCCCAGTGGGATCAGAGACCTTGGGATCATGGGGAAAAATGCCACACGCTTCCTTAAAGAATTGGGTTCCAGACTCATCGACACCACCAGGGACCCAAGGGCAGCCACTTTCATGTTCCAGCGCCTCAGCGTCGCCATCCAGAGGGGAAATGCTTGCTGCATACTTGGCTCACGTCCAGCCTCGGAGGAGCTGGAGGAAATTCATCATCTTTGATACATTGTGCCATTGTATTCATGTTTATGTTTTTTTCTGTAAATGTATTTTGTTTATTAATAAATGTTCACATAGAATAAAACATATATAGGGGGTGGTAGGAGAAGAAAATATTCAAACAGCTCCGGGAGAACCTTGAGATTTTCTCTGAGGTACGTTTATTGTCTTCTCTGAGGATGAGGGTCCCCATTCCAGCTATAGAGGTGGTACTTCCCTATATAATTTTATAATATATATATATATATATATATATATATAATATATTATATATATATATATATATATATATATAATAATATATAATGAGGATAACCAAAATTAGGTAACAGAAGACTGGATATCAGATTGGAGGGAGGGGAGAGAGAGTATGGAGGAGGTGAATGTATTTAGATATTTGGGAGTGAACGTGTTAGCAGATAGATCTATGAAAGATGCGGTGAATCACAGAATTGACGAGGGAAAAAAGGTGAGCGGTGTACTGAGGAGTCTGTGGAGATAAAGAACTTTATCCATGAAAGCAAAGAGACGAATGTATGAGAGTATATTTATACTAACGCACTTGTATGGTTGTGAAGCATGGGTGGTGAATGTTGCAACAAGGAGAAGGCTGGAGGCAGTAGAGATGTCATGTCTGAGGGCAATGTATGGTGTGAATATAATGGAGAGAATCCATAGTTTGGAGATTAGGAGGTGTGGGATTACCAAAACTATTATGCAGAGGGCTGAGGAGGGGTTATTGAGATTGTTTGGACATGTAGAGAGGCTGAAACGAAATAGAATGACTTCGAGAGTGTACAAATCTGTAGAGGGAAGGTGGGATAGGGGTCGGCCTAGTTGGAGAGAGGGATTAAAGGAGGTTTTGTGTGCGAGGGGCTTAGACTTCCAGAAGGCGTGCGTGAGCGTGTTTGACAGGAGCAAATGGAGACAAATGGTTTTTAGGACTTGTCGTACTGTTGGAGTGCAAGCAAGGTAACATTTATGAAGGAATTCAGGGAAACCAGCAGGCCGGACTTGATTCCTGGAGATGGGAAGTACAGAGCAGGCACTCTGAAGATGTTAATGTTGCAGTTTTATAACTGTAGTATAAGCATGCCTCTGGCAAGACAGTGATGGAGTGAATGATGAAAGTTTTACTTTTTCTAGCCACCCTGTCTTGGTGGGAAACAGCCGATGTGTTAATAATATAATAATAATAATAATAATAATAATAATAATAATAATATATATATATATATTATATATATATATATATATATATATATATATATATATATAATAAATATATATATATATAATAAATATATATATATAAATATATATATATATAATATATATATATATATATAATATATATATATATATATATATATATATATATATATATAAATATATATATATATATATATATATAAGCAGACATGTGTAAGTGAGCACACAGGTCCAAGACTGCGTACATAAGTACCTAGATAAGAGACAAACAAGATCCCAATGGAAATTAGTCACACTGACTTTATTGGATTGTGACAGGTTAAATTTACATAATTTATTTATGTATGCGTTCAGTATTTATGCGCTTTCAGAACCACTGTATAAATATATGTTAATATCCAAAGTCATTTGTAGGTTTCCTTACTAAAGCTTATCTTGATGGATCCCAAAAACAGTGAGAATATCAGGTTAAGATTTCCTTTATAGAAAAGCACAGCAATTAAAAAAAAAAGGACACAGGTGCAGTTACAAGGAAATCGTACTGACAATGTTTCGTCATCGCAGGCGCAAGCATTATTAAGTTCTCTGTGATTCGTTGAAGCCGCTATATGGGCGAAATGTCAGTAAAGCGTCCATGTAACTGCATTTGTGTCCGTTTCTCATCTTATCGTTGTTATTATAAACCTTGTCTGACCCCTATACAATGTCATGTAGATTACTCCTACTCAATGAGGTACTCTGCTCTAACAATAAAACGTAAAACAAAATGCAGATTATTTAAAACTTGATGGTCAAGCTTATCCTAGACCAGGGATGGGCAACCTTTTTAAGTGTTCATGCCAAAGTCGGCCATATCTTTGAAACAAAATCTCTGGAAACATATGGGGACTATTTCCCCATTTTCTTGGAACGTATACGCGATAAATGTCGCTTTTTTTTCTTTTTTGAGACCAGAGGTTAGCGAGCCGGAAAAAAGTCGTTGGCGTGCCAGGTTTGGCACGCGTGCTAAGGGTCGCCCACCCGTCCAAGACATTGGTGCAATGGAACACGGAGGCCACTATGAACTAAACAAAGCTAATCACTTGTTGGAAGTGACAAAAGTGGAAGTTAAAATTAAACGATCTACAAAATTGCTCAACAATTGTCCTCAGACTCGTATGACGCAGACTGCACTACTGTTTGGTAGCAGATGTTTTCAAACACCGATAATTATGTAATAATACATGTGTAGTACTAGGATATACTATAATGAGCATTACGCTCACCGAATTTTTTCTTACACAGTTTTACAGGCTAAGAGCTGTTATCCCATCAGCTCATTTCGAAGCCCAGCCCTATATAAGGTATACTACCCCTCCCCCAGGATACGACCAACAAGAGTCGACTTACAACCAGGTACCTACTTAATGCAAGATAAACAGAGGCAACAGGTTTAAGAAATCAAGGGAGCAAAACATCATTACAATACATCCTAGTATTGCACATGTTGTATTTACATACACCACTATTGTACAAGGAAACGTGAAGATAATATTGCTGGGCTCACTCTACGTGTCTCGTAACTCAGTGGTAGAAGTTCGGTTTACAATCAAAAGGACATGGTTCGAATCATAAATGATGTATAGGCAAGTTATATCAACACACACACAACCTAGTAGCAATCAGTGAAGAGGCGGGGCCAGGAGCTGACTCCACCCCTGCAACCACAAATAGGTGAGTACAAATAGATGAGTACACACACACACACACACACACACATACACGCGCGCGCGCGAGCATACAAGGGTATATCTTGCCACTTACATCTGGTTCATACTATACATACAATTGTGCATGTACATATATGTGTATCCACACTCAACTAAGTTTTCTTCTAATCTCTTAATAGTTCCTCATCTTATAGTGTTTATTTTCACCTCCAAGAGGAAGTGAGAGAATTCTTCTTCCGTAAGTATTGCGTGTCGTAAAAGACAACTAAAATGCCCGGAGTAAGGGGCTAGTAACCCCCTTCTCCTGTATAAATTACTTGTGAAGATTAAACCTTTAAAGGTGTGTTGCTTGAATGTGCGTGGGTGTAACTTGGGTGTGAAGAAAGAATTGATATTGAATGATATGACTGAAAAGAAGCTAAATGTCATAGCTCTAATTTAAACTAAGCTAACGAGGGTAGGGAAATTTCAGCGCAGAGCAGTAAATGGCATTAGTTTAGGTGTATCTGAGCTAAGGAAGGAGTAGCGATAATATTAAATGTTCAGCTAAGAAAAGAGGAAATATAAGTGTATAAACTTAATAATTACTGAGACTAAAATAAGGGTAGATGTGATACGTTTATTTACCTGGAGAAGAGAGGAGTGTAGACGAGAGAGAGGAGAGAGAGAGAGAGAGAGAGAGAGAGAGAGAGATTTGGGAGAGGTTAAGAACATAAGAAACACTGCAACAGGCCTACTGACCCATGCGGAGCAGGTCCATGTCCCCCCCCCCGGATTAGCCCAATGACACACCTAGTCAGGTCACTTCCACTTAAGGAAGGAGCAAGGCATCAGACCTAGTAGCACAAGCTAGTCAGGTCTAACT